TGGGCAGTTTCCAGTGGCACCCCTTGGAGGAACGGACTTCGCCACCAGTATTCACCATGACTCTATTTGGTCGAAATTCTGGTATCCTATATGACTACCTGGGTGTGACTTCGTAGAAAACTTGCTTCCCCGATTTTCGTGTCTTGGCTCCTCCCATCTCAATACTTCTAGAAGTTCGGCGAGTCGTGAGCGTTGTAATCGTTTTTTGTTGATGGTATCTGATTAGTATTTCCAGTGACGCTTGCCTTAGCTACTGTTGACGAATAAATTTGCTGGCAAGTAAACAGTTCTCAAATAAGTCATGAAAAAGCTCCTGTTACAAAGCGAGAAGAAGCCGCTTGATTAGTCATTTTGTTTGGGGACGATTACGAACCTCTATTCAGCTATTTGCGTCAAATGTAAGGAACCTGTCAACAGACAAAATCCTGGATGCAAAGCACTTAATCAGGTATGACGCTTTTAATATATTTTCTGAAATCTGAAACATGAGCTTCGGGTAGATTCAAGGTTCATTCAATTCTTTTACTGATTGTACCCATCTTTCTCTAAATGAAAAATATACGAAATCTCATGCTGTGAATTATCCGAACTAAGCAATACTGAACGCGAAGAAAACGTTAAAATGTTAGTTTTCAGATTTTCCATGTCAAGTGTTATACTTGCAAAAAGTGTAGCAAACCTCTGGTCGGTCTAACATTCTACAACATCGATAACAATCCCACATGCAGTGATTGTTACAATGTATGTCCGTATGTTTGCTTGACTTCTTTATAAAAATTTACTGAAAATGCGAAAACTGGGTTTCCTCTTGAACCTTTTCAATTGCTAACCTGTACAACTAATACGTTCCAAAGAAGTTTGCCGTGCGTCTAGAACAAAATGTGAGTAAGAGAAGAGTCGCAGGGACTACTAATGACACCATACCAATACATAATAGCACTATGAGTTAAGCATTGAGGGAGTTTCGAAATACCAGTACGTACCCAGTGTAGCACGCCACAGCTTAACGTCATGCATTTTCAATCAAGACTGTATTACGTTTTTGAAAGTAAAGTTCATTTTGATAACTGAATCATTGAAAAAGTTGAACAATTGTCTTGATAAATCAAAAAAGAATTCTTTGCTGAAAAAGAGTCGAAAATGAGATTGAGTGAGAATGAGAATGAGCCAGATTTGCGCTTTAAGGGATAGGATGGCTCTTTCTGAAACCCTTCCTCAAAAATTGCAAACACATAGAAATTAATGCGATTAAAACTCTTCTCGGCCGAAAAAATAATTGCAACACTATGCCGTAGATGTCAATAAAATGCTGCAAACGATCTCTTCTCACTGAAGGGAAAAGGACCTTTTCATCCGTGATTCACAAGAGAGCTGGGAAACTCTGTAACCAAACTTTGAAGCGTTAAGCAGAATTGCTGCATATATTTTAACCGCTGTCATACATTGACTCTCGAGGACCAGTGTTTTTGATAATACACGACCTGCAGACCTAACCTGCTCGCAAACTGATTTTCCGTGCAAGAAAGAGACTAAGAGTCCGTTAAGTTACCTGTCGATCTTATTGAACTGCCCTGTGCTGCCTTTGAATAGCTGTAAAAATGAGATAACCGACATTGATCATTATTTCGAGAGCGTAGATTACGTCCTGTATCCTTCTACATAAACGCATAATTCACGCAAAATATGATAAGTGGTTGAACATGGATCTGGGGAATCGACAAAGTACCTTTCTCGAGTCGCTCCCCTTTGCTAGCCTGGAGCCCCAAGTTAGAAGGTTTGCCATTGCCTAAGATGGTAATTATTTATTTAGAAGGCGCTCTCAGTTGAGGAAAATAATCTCGCGTTGGAATTAATTCGATCTATTGCATGAGGAGTTGACTCTCAAGCTCGGATGCAGGTGAAGGCAGGAGTTACCCTCAGCAGGCGACTTTCCAGGACGAGATTCCCTTAATTGGCCTATTTCACACTTCCTTCACCCCTTTGAAAACAGTTCATTTTATGGTGCGTATTGCCGTTTGAGTGGGGATACTCCTTAGTATCAAATAATTAAGTATGTGGGCTTGGAAAAAAGACATGTTCTAAAGGTAGGATTCCGCCAAAACACAGTAAAGAAGTTATGAGCGCAACGGTTTCGACTTTGTGCCATGATCCCCACACGCTATCTGTATATATGCTTGTATAATTCATTAACTACGTTGAATTTGCTGGTAGCAGCAGCTATATGAGCTCAGCTTTGAACCTTTCAGCAAACACTCGACAACTGTGCTAAGTGTCACGAGAAGATCACCGACAAAATGCTAAAAGTTAACGATTTGACGTACCATGTACAATGTTTCACATGTAAAGACTGCCAAAAATCACTGGACGGTGTTCCATTCACCGGCGACAAGGAAAACGTCTACTGCGTCCAATGTTTCCAAAAGTATGTCAAGCCTAATTGCCTAATTTGCTAATGCAAGTTGAAAGAAGGAAGATTCCACGGCAAGTGGGGTAAGCGCGACAAACCGTACTGACAAGGGATGCTAGGTCGTAGAGGCCATTCAAAATGAGACTCAAATATATTCTTTGACAACGCTGATTCCAAATCTACATTCCAAGTTTGCGATTCTGTAGATAATGTAAACGGAGGCATTTCGTTCGGGATATTTTCGAGCATTTACGCTACAGGGTCTCTACAGTACACGTGAAAAGCCCTAGCTTCCAATCTTGGAAGGTCAAGAAAACCATCCGTGGAATTCGAGAGCTCGCGGGAAATCGTGAATAATAAACGTGACCAGTATTAAAGACAAAATTCATGATAATTTTGGGGTCCCCCTTCCAAGACGAACAGCAGATAGTGAGCGCTTCGGCTTCTTGAGAAGGGAGGCTCTCTGGTCGTGAGAATAGAAGCTGTACGAGATTACCTAGAGAAATTGACATGAAAGGTGTGTTCGGACGAGATTTCAGTTGTTGCAACTGCGGAAAGAGCTGACTACATCGAGCCAAAGTTATCCGAAACTGTCTTCCGCTCTCGCATGGGTCATGACAAGTTGTTTGAACTTCCTATATGGGTAACTTTGTAAAAGTGCGGCTTCTACAGTGCCATTCAAACTCGTACACCTCAAAGGAGGCAAACAACCGATAGAATCTTTGAGCCCTTCTAACGGCCTACCTAGGCTTTTTTTCGATCTGAGAGCGCCAGCTTCAAATCCGTGTAGGTAAGCAGAGTGGCTCATATAAGAATAAGCGAATCCCAAACTTAACACCGTACGTGGTGCAAAAACATCTTTATTACGAGAAGCAAACTATGCAGTGAGCTGTTAACGAAATTTCAAAAGCGGCATTATTTGATAATTGTATCAGCCTACGGTAAAGCTTCTGGAACACATCGTGCATGAATCTTTGAACACTGCATGTTCAACATATTTCATTTCCAGTAAAACCGCTCCACACTGTGCTGTCTGCAAAAAGCCGATCGTACCTCGTGAAGGAGAGAAGGAAACCAAACGAGTATTCATTCTGAACAAATCGTTCCATCTAGAGTGCTTCAAATGCGAACATTGCAGTAAACAATTAAATTGTGAGGTATGTCCATGATTTGGAACAGTTTTTGGAGGGCACGTATTTGAAACACTGTAAGTTTCAGGGCGAAAGTGGTGGTTGCTATCCACTGAATGATCATATCTACTGCAAAGATTGCAACGTTAAACATGCGCGCAACAAAAAACAACAGGAAGCAGGGGCAAAAAAGTGAAAATCACCCGAACTCCATTCTTTCTATTTCTGCTTGCTCGCCTATGAATGCTGAAGAACTGATCGCTTCTGATGTTTAGCCGTTTGTAACTCCTCATATCTGTACTGTTCATACCCATTTACCTTTGCCCATCTGGTTTCTTGTCTTACGATACGTCGTCCATTAACTGTTGGGGAGATAAGGGATAAATGCATAGCTTAACTAGTATTTCTCCTCCCCCCTGCCTTTTTTCGCACTTCTTACCTCATTCTCCTCGTCAGTCAAAGGGTGATTCTGTGTCCCATGCATTTTGATTGAATAATCTGCAAATATATGTAGCACTAACAGAAAATTCTGAGTTTTCTGTGATTTATTAACTCAACGTTACCCTATGCAACTCCACATCTACTCAACTTCCCGCTATATATTAATCAATTTTCTATCTACTGAGACAGCACTGAGCACTTGGCTATATCTCGTATTTTGCACCTCTCGTGTATTCGGACGAGGCATTTCTTCATCAAGTATTCATAATCAACCATGCATAAAGTTTGTGGTATTCATTGTCGGACGTTCTATTATACTAAAGTGAGATCAGATGGTCATAACCGCTGACTATCGCAAGATGCAAACGGAAGCGGCTAGACAATCCAAACGCAGTGACGCGTGCATGATTGAATACAACTCATCGGAAACATGAGGTCCGCCGGAAAGCGCATACTGCACAACAAGAAATCAAAATGAAAAGAATATCTGTTCTTGTGTGAAGGAGGAGCTAAAGTAACCCCAGGGATAGAATTCATTTCAAATCATTAGATCTACAGAGCTTTTCCTTTGTCTTTACGGTAGGCCCTCTAGTTTAGTTAGCTCTAGCGGGATATGAGAAACGTGAGCTGGGCGCAGGTAATGGGAGACAAAAGTAGTGTTACTAATGAACGCTGGTAGATGAGGTTGAAAAGGAAGTAACAGCAATATTTTTTTAGCTTCCGTTATCCATAGGATGATCTTAATTACAAGTACCGTATATCCCACAGCTGTGGAGTGGGCTCCCAATTCTGCAGAATTTCTGTAGACAATATATTTCTTTCACGGCATAACCTTCTTCTCCCGCCACATACACGACGCATGAAAAAGGGGTTTGGTCTGGACAAGTACACTGAGGGGGGAGCTAAGGCAAGGGTAAGTCGTTTGGTGGTTTCATCGGTGCCGGCGCGAAAATTGACGTGGACGGGTTTGCAGTCCCCGTATGAAGTCCTAGAAAACAAGTCTCAAGAATAGCTGGGAAAGAATGGAGAGGGTGCACCGGGTGCAACATACAAGGATTCAAGGGCAAACCTTGGGCCTCCATCCACACTCATGAGGGATATTTTGAAATGAGATTGTAGCATGTTGTAGAAAATGATGTTAGCAAATTTCCTTATAGATTCTATAGTTCGGGTCGCCCGGCTCACACCGTCCTTCCCTATTCCTTGTGGAAGAGTTGTGATAGTAGGCAGACCGGTTTCTCTTTGTTTGGAACCAATGATTCTTTTCGGAACAACAGAGGAAAAATGGGGCATGCGAGTGGTATTCAAAATGAACCGATGCTTATGTCAATGATTAGAATGATGATGTTGACGACGATCTGTATGTTCGTCTTGAAAATAATGACTCATCGAAAGTTCAACTGGTAGGCATCCAAAGCCTTGAATGGAACTCATAAATGTCGCCGAGTCATAATAGTACCATTATCAATTGTCTTCAGAAATGTAGCTCCTTTTCTCTATGGATACATCATTAAATGAGAATCGAAGATTATTAGCGGTTGGATAAGTACTGCCAAGAATGTTATCAAAGCAGAGAAAAACCGTGATCCTTCACTGAACCGCAAACTTTGCTATGTAGCGGTCGTAATCAGATAGCGAAAAGTGAACCAATTTTCTTCTCCTTTTAGTCCCTAACACTGCACTTTCCTTATTGTCGAATGAAACATACTTATTTATATTTATACGGCTCGTCTTCACTCATGTGCGAGCACCAGCAACAAACCATTCGCTTCTATCTTTCGCTATCGCCATCCACGTTCGACTCAGCACCCGACGACGATGTAAGAGTCGTTCAGCTGCTGTCGCAGCTGTTTCACGTGATCGACAAGCAAACCCCCCCCCCCCCCCCCCCATCTCGCAGCAGGCCTTAGATCGTAAAGATCTTACGAGAGCCCACTCGACAGTCCTTCCTGTCCATCTGTTATCATCTTTTCTCATTATATGACAGGGCCGCCGGAATTTTGCCTTCTTCATGTATTCCAGGGACGCTGAGTCGAAACATTCTGCGCATATCGGAGCTACGAAGTCCGGCTCGATATTGAGTGAGCCGATTAAACCTCAAAAGACATTGCTCGAGCGATCCGTGACTTGTGCTGCCCTTGACGTGGATACACTGGTCACCCAAGTCTCCGACCCGTAACAGAGCGCAGGGAGAACGGTGGAATCGAACAGATTAGCGCGAAGTTCCAGGTCGGCCAGACGGTTCGTAACCTCTTTCAGAGGTCCGAAGGGTGCCCACGCTGCTTTCTGCCGTCTCAACAGTTCTTCCCTCATGTGGTTGTTCATATTCTTGGAACGCCCGATATACACGTAGGACATTTCCTTGATAGGTGTACCATCGATCTTGATTTGACCTTCGTCAGCCCAA